TATATATATATATATATATATATATATATATATATATATATATATATATATATATATATATATATATATATATATATATATATATATATATATATATATATATATATATATATATATATATATATATATATATATATATATATATATATATATATATATATATATATATATATATATATATATATATATATATATATATATATATATATATATATATATATATATATATATATATATATATATATATATATATATATATATATATATATATATATATATATATATATATATATATATATATATATATATATATATAAAATTGAGATGACCAGCTAAAACAAGCTTGACCAGCCTAGCCAGGCTGTGAGCCCAGCCAAAACCAGCTATGTCCAGCTTAAACCAGGTTGGTCAAGCTGGTTTAAGCTGGATTTAGCTGGTCATTTTCCAGCCTGACCAGCTAAGACCAGGCTGGAAATGGCTGGAAACCAGCCTGGAAATGGCCAAAACCCCTCTAAAACCAGCCTGGTCGACCAGCTAAAACCAGCCAACCAGCCTAGGCTGGTTTAAGCTGGATTTTTCTGCAGGGTGACCCATTGTTAGGTTAAAACAACCCATCATTTTTTTAGTATGCTTGCTTTTTATCTCGTACACTGGATATACTGTATATTAGTACTTAAAGCTTATAAACATGCCTTATTTTGCCTGACGCAGAGATATATTTCAGTTCAATAGGTGTTTATGCTCATAAATTTATAAAAATTTGGATTAGCAACCCAAAACTAAGCTAGTTTTCTTTCAAAAACTGGAGAGAGAAAGAAAAACAACAATCGCATTAGCTAATCTGAGGCAAAGAGCTTAGAATAGGTGATTCAATGCGCTTTGTCTGAGGTAAAAGTCGCCTCAATACGGTATTATTATTATTTATCTGTTGTACGAAAGTAAGAACCCATACAAGCTCGAGTCAGATCAGTTTACAAACTAGCTATAGTCGAAGGCTGAATAAAACTATAATCAGACCTTTATCAAATACGCAACAGATGTTTTAATTAGGCTAATCATTATAAATGTCCGCCAAATGAAGACTCTCCCCTCATGAATGTTTCAGGAAAGATGTCTAACGCGAATCTACAGCGTCCTGACATGGTATAAAGACAACTGGAACTACATTGAGAAGGAAAATCTGACCTCAGTCCTGGTGAACGACATCAAACACAGCACCAAACGACTGCTGGAGGCCATAAACAGCCAGGTAAACACACCTGAAAACTAGCGACGCTTCCGGTTATTGCGTCCGCTTTTCTATTGCACAAACATGAAGATAAATGATATGGGAAGTAAAATATATTTAATAATTATAATAAAAAAACAAAGAAAAATATTTATACATAAAATAAATAATAATAATAATAATAAAATACTGTCAACAGGGCATATTACCAGGGGAATAAAACATGTGTTGTAATATTTTATACATAACTCAGATTTTTTGCTTTTCAACAGTTTCACAGAAGAAATACAGAGGTCAAAATCAATAAAAAAAAAACTGTTAACATAGATGACTTAGCAAATGTATGGTTATGTGAAATTTTGCCAATAGAATACAAAGTTTAACAATAATTTCAACATCTTTATCGAGCTGATTTTGACGTTATTACAAAACAATTAACGCACTTTTATAAATAATTGACGAAGCAAGTGTTTTACAACATAAACCTTAAAATATCTAATAACATTTTTACAATAACCACAACATTTATCAAGCTTAGGCCACGCTAATTAGTAAATCAGAGGTAGACTAGAATCGTATATACTTTTATTTTTTTACAACGTCTTACGTGTTGCTTGCATATGACGCAATACAGAATTTATTCAAATGTATTAATGCAAGTCAATGAAAATAAACACGGTATTTTCTATTTAACATTAGCTGGGACAAATAAATATAATTATCAATATAATTTAATATTAAATGCTGGAAAAAGGGAAGTTTCAATTGCTAGTTTATGTACACTAATGCACTTATTGTAAAAAAAGAAACCGTATTACAGTGTTTCAATTTCTATTGCACTTTTACTACCAAAATTAAAAAATGCTGTAAAAGCATTTGTTTAGGTTATTTGTAATTATTACAAATCTAATTATTCTAATTACAAATCTAATATGATTTCAAATGAACATT